AAGTTGGCCAGAAATAATGGTCAAGCCAAGGTGCGTTTACCCGATGAAGAAGATGAAAATGAAATTATTTTCGGTGGTGACGACGAGATTGATGTTGTCAAGCCTAAATATGCTGGTGTTGTTGTTGCCATTCTTGAACGTGCTCAGAATCAAGTGTTTTCAGGTACATTAACCTTGATGAGACCAAACAATAAGCGTGCTGCTTTACAACAACAAGAGGAAGAAGAGACAGGTACCAAAAAGGAAACACCTCGCATTGTCTGGTTCAAAGCTACAGATAAGCGTGTGCCTTTGATTGCTATTCCTATTGAACAAGTGCCTCAAGACTTTGTTGAAAACAACGAGGAATACAAGAATCGCTTGTTTGTTGGTTCTATTAAGCGTTGGCCCATTACCTCACTGCATCCTTTTGGTACTTTGGAAAAAGAATTGGGTGCTATCACTGATTTGGATGTACAGATCAAGGCTATTTTGGCTGATTCCAACGTGACACATACTCCCTTTACCGAGGCTGTCATGGAATGCGTTCCTCCTAGTCCATTTCAGTTTACTCCACCTGAAGACGGCACTCGTCGTGATCTGACTTTAGATCCAGAACATCGTATGATCACCATTGATCCAGTAGGAAGCACTATTTTTGAAGATGGTCTATCTATTATTCGTTTGGGTGATGATACTTATGAAGTGGGTGTACATGTTGCTGATATTGCCTACTTTATCAAGCCGCATTCTCCTTTGGACAAAGAAGCTAGAGCAAGAGCAGTGAGTGTTACTCTTGATCAAAAAACTGTACCAATGATCCCCGACGAATTATCTGAAGTTGCCAACTTTTCTTTAAACCAACTCAAGTAAGTCAATTTGTATGAGTGTGAGTGTGTATATTGACAATAACAACACCAAAATAGACCTGCTTTCTCTATTATTTGGAAACTCAACTCAGATGGTATGCTTCTTGATACTTGGTTTGGAAAGACAGTTGTCAAGTAAAGTATAAGCCTCAAGTTATCCAATTATAGAGACTAACAAACCTTAATTTTTTTTTTTTTAGATCAAGTGCTCAGTTGACCTATGAGGATGCACAAGCTATTGTTGAAGGCAACAATGATGATAGATACAGTCAAGAAATCAACAACGATGTCCGCATGCTATACAGCCTTGCCAAAACCCTTCATACATCTCGTTATACCAAAGACGCCATGTCTTTAGCTAGACAAGGCTTAGTTTTTGATGACCCCAACCAACCTACTCAAGTTACCATTACTGACGCAAAATCTGATATTACTAAGATTGTCAAGGAGTTTTCCTTCTTGGCCAACAAATGCGTCGCTCAAAAGATATCTAGTCAATACCCAGAACAAGCATTATTGCGTCGTCAAGCACCTCCTAATAGCAGAAAGATTGTAAGTTTGAGGGTTATGTATTTACAATTACTAAATCTCGGTCTAGAATGAGTTGAAGGATTATGCTTCACGCTATTTAGGTATTGAGCTGAATATTACCAATGCGTCCACTATTCAGAAATCAATTCAAGAAATTCAAGATGAAGAATTGCGTCAACTTGTGTCCATCTTGGTTCTCAAGACAATGCAACCACCCAAGTACTTTTGTACTGGTACATTTGACATTACCAAATATTTCCATTTTGCTGCTGGTGTTCCTCTCTTTACGCACTTCACTTCACCTCTTCGTCGATATGCTGATATCATTGTTCATCGTCAGTTGGAATATGCATTAAATGGGGGTATGTGTATATTGCTGTATATAGTAGGTAATTAATATCATGTTCTAGAAAAACATTTCTTCTTGGACCGTGATACAGTCCAAAAACTAGCTCAACATTGTAATGTAAAGAAGGAAGCTAGTTTAGCCGCACGCGAACAGGGCAAGTTATTATCACTTGCTTTATATCTTGTTCACAAGCAAGACTGCATGCAACCACAACAAGCAGTGACTACAGCCACTCCATTGACAACCACAGTCTATAGCGAAGCACGAGTGATTGCTGTGAATGAAGATTACTTCGATGTTTCTTTACCTGAATTCGGTATGGAAAGACGTATTCACTTGGCCAACTTGCCCTTATCCAGACATAAATACAACCCTGTTGAGCGAGCATTGACCATGTTCTGGAAAGAAGGTGTGGTTCCTTCTACTGGTTTGCAACAACAATGGAGTCTTTCTGACGATGAATATGAAGAAGAAGAATTATTGAATTCATTTCCTGAAGCGTCTCAATCTACTCCACTGACAAAGACAACTGACAGTGATGTTGATAAGAAACAATTTGAAGCTATTGCCTTGGCAGCTTCTAAAGCTGGCATTGTCCCTGGTCCTACTACCTCAACACCTGGAAAGAAGTCTGCTTCCAAGAGAGCCTCTATCATCAGTTCTCGTTTATCAGCAAGCACAGGCTATAGTTCGGAACAATCATCTCAAACAATTAAGGCCTTGGATAAGGTCAGAGTTATGCTTACGATTGAAATGGTCAGAACTCCTCCTTTAATCAGAGTATTTGCTGCTAATCCTTATGCTTAAACACAAGCATTTATATATATTATATATTTTCTTATTGTTTATATTTTTTCTTTTTTTAAAAAACACACACACATACGTATCTATTTGAATAAAAAAGATAACACATCTGTAATCTTTATTATACATCGTTAATTCTCACACTGCATAATTCCTTAAGACCAGAATACCGTCCATTAGGATATAACACCGAAACTGTCAAGAGATTTGCTTTTTCTTTTACTTGACTGAATCACCAAGCATATAATTCATTCTAATGCATGATTTACGCATACGCAATCATGATCCAAGATAGACTGTATAGTGTCACCTTTTCATGTGCTGCAATATGACAATGTCAAATAACAACCATGCCAGGTATTTGAACCCAGACTAGATGACTCACTTGAGTATAAAAGCATTTTTTTATTTGTTATTGTATCATTTTTTTTACATTAAAAAAATATGAGTTCAGATCGTACCTGTTGGAATATCAAGGCTTCTAGAGTAGCTAACCAAGCCCACAACCCCATTCGAGCTATTGTAGATAAACTCAAGTTGAACCCCAACCTTACCAAGCCCTTGATCAGCTTGTCTATCGGTAATATTGACAATGACTTTATAACGCGTGAAAATTGACATATTGTAGGTGACCCCACCATTTTCGGTAACTTTAATGTGGATCCTAGTGTCAATGAAGCTGTTATCAAGCAAATTGAAAGCTTCCGTTCCAATGGCTATCCTCCTGCTGACGGTAAGCATCGATATTTGTAATGATATTGACAAAGAATCGTCAGGTTATTTGGTTGCACGAACAGCTGTTGCTCAAGCTCATTCTGATCCTGCTGCCTCTCTTACAGCAAATGATGTTATTTTAGCCAATGGTTGTTCTGGTGCTCTTGAAATGTGCTTTAATGTTCTTTGTAATGAAGGGCAAAACATTCTTTTGCCTCGCCCTGGCTTTTCTCTCTATGCTTCATTGGCTGCTGTCAAGTTTACAGAAGCAAGATTTTATGATTTACTGGTAAGTAGAAGCTTTAGTGTATAGTCAATTGACATGAATAGCCTGAACAAAACTGGGAAGCTGATCTAAAGCAAATGGAAAGTTTAATTGACGACAAGACCAGCGCTATTTTAGTCAACAAGTAAAGATCAAATTGGCTCTATATGATCATGCATTAATAACTTACATAGTCCTTCTAATCCGTGTGGCTCTGTCTATTCCCG